TTTTCCTGGGTTTAAAATGCAGCAATGAGCCATAACCAGTTTGGCTCAGTGGATAGAGCATTGGCCTGCGGACTGAAGGGTCCCAGGTTCGATTCCGGTCAAGGGCATGTACCTTGGTTGCGGGCACATACCCAGTAGGGAGTGTGCAGGAGGCAGCTGATCGATGTTTCTTTCTCATTGATGTTTCTAACTATCTATCCCTCTCTCTTCCTCTCTGTAAAAAATCAATAAAATATATTTTTTAAAAAATAAATAAAATGCAGCAATGAATCGGGGAAAATCTAATCCAGTATCCAACTTTTATGTTTGAACAAATGACACAAAATATGGTTATTTTTAACAAGTGTATGAAGATTAACTAAATCACTGAGTGTAAGATATCCATCTTCAAAGATAAGTATAATATACTTTCAAACGTATGGATAATTAGTATGGAATAGGGCAATGAAAAATTAATATTTTTCAGTCAAAGACACATGCACAAGTGTATAATCTACAAACCCTTTCTCGTCAGAGTCTTCCTAACAGATTCTTTGATGTTGACGTTCTCCAATGTGGTTTCATTCTTCAGAATCTCCGGGAGTGAAGGGTGCAGACAGCGCCCCCAGGTGCTGTGCATGGGCCTAGAATCACAGGCTGAGCAGGATACTGCTCTTGCGGTGAAGGTGCTCATTTGCACCACTAGAGGGAGCATGCTGCACGCAACATAATCGTAATTAGGGCTGGAAGGAAAGGGGGAGAGACAGAGTCAGACCTGAGACAGAAACAGAGGGACCGAGAGAGGCACAGAGAGACAGAGAGACAGGCAGGGAAGCACTCAGAGGGAAAGACAGAGAGACAGAGTAACACACACACAGAGAAATTCACCAAAGCCCGGAAGCCCAGATAACAGCTGACCCCAGAGGCAGGAAGGAAGCCGGCTGTGCTGTTAATGGACTTGGACTCAAGCACAGTGATTGTTGTCGACCCTGCTGCCAATCAGAACATGAAGGCCCTCATCTTTTTACAAAAGATTCATCTGGCAAATAAGCAAAAGTGGCATTATAATAACATTCTGGGTTTATAACCTCAGATACATTAACAAAGACCGAGGTACGGAAGTAGGGATGGCCATGCTTTCCATGGGTACATCGAAGTCAGAAGTTATTGTCAGATTTTTTTTTACTCTGATAATTAGGAAGAGGTGGGTACAAACACAAGTTCACAAATCTATACGTAAAGGCTAATTGAGGTAAGAACAGAATGTCTCTATTTTCAAATAGAAGAGAAAGGGAAAAAATAGTTCTATAAATACGTATATGTAAATATATACAAATAGAGGGGAATATATTTATATATAAGGTACATGTGTCTCTTTTATATATAAAATATACATATTATGTATATAAGTTCTATATAATAGATAAGAAGTGAAGGGAACAACACTGGGGCCCAAAGAGAGAAAGTGTGAAACTTTATGGCAAGGAGGGGTGAAAGAGAGTTGTTCAAATCTCATAATTTAAAAAAAGAATACTTAAATCAGATTTTTTAAAAAGCATCAATTTCCTGGTTATAAGGGGCACAGTTAAAGCACAAGGTGCCAGGGGCAGCGCTGGCATGCGGCATTTGTGGAATAAATGAAATAAACAGCCAAAACCATGACAACCATCCAAATGCTCCAATAAGAGGAAGGGAAGGGAACCACAGTCCAACCAGGTAATGAAATAAAAACGGACCCACTTACATATGTCTCGTGAAATGTTTTCCCTGACGGGAGAAAATACTAATAATAAAATGTTAAGTAAAAATAAAATGCAATTTGAACATGTGGCTACGAATACCTGAAGATGTTTACTTACCCAGGAACTCAGTATTGACTGAGAAAATAGTATTCCCTCCGAGGTGACATAAATACAATTTTATATAAAGTAAATTATTTTACAATTCTTCTTTCTGCGTTTATTTCCTGTCTCAGCGTTAGACAAAGAAGAAATGGGAACATGACCCTGGTCACACTCATTCTCAAGGAACATTCTGGTCGCCTCTGCCATTATGAATCGTCACCTTAGCAGGAGGGAAGGTGGCTCAACCACCCAGGTCTTCAGCTCGGCCAGACTCTGGGTCGGGCATCCTTGACCCCAATGCCACCCCTCCTCCCTGCCGACCTAAACTCACAAATACGAGAGGGTGGCTGGGGACCATGCAGAGCTGCTCTGGGTGTGTGCGCCGTCACATGCATTAATACAGTTGCTGTGAAGCTGTTCGGGCTGAAAGAGAACAACCTAGTGGCTCGGTTGCAAAATTCTTGCATCAGCTGCTGCAAGTTGGCCTCAGTCAGCAGAGAAAGACTGGAAATGCCTGGAACTGATCACAGGCTTGAGTCAACATTTATACCCCACCCCCCACACTGGGTGGGTGCAGAGGTCACTGTGATGGGAGCCCAGCACAGGCCACAGCGAGGATGCTGGACAGAAGGAACATGGAAGGGGCGGGCCTGGGGCGGGGGCAGTCTGTGGCCGGCCTGAGGCCTGTAGGGCAGGACATGGATTCCCACCCATAGACGCAGTGAGCCTTTGGGGGAGCTCTGAACCTGCTTCCCATTGCTGAGACTTGCTCCATCTGAACACAGATTCTCTGACCAGCTTTTCAAGAGCAAATGGGCATTCTCTCTCCATTCTCTGTAGAGAATTCCCTCCACTCTGAGTACAGGCAGCCCTCCTAGGAAGACTTCTGGAAGCTTCTGAATCAGGCTGAATGTTCCACTGAATGTCTCTGAGGGACGCAGCTCTCTCCTAACCTGGGAAAAACCTGTCTCCTGAATGAGTTCTTTTCTTAGGACCAGCAAGGCTGTTCAAACCCCATTTTCCCAGGAAAACTGACCTATTGTACGAGCAGCCCCAGTGTCCCAGGCTTTGGTTGTTTGCCTGGCTTCCCCAGCCCGAGTCCTGGTTTCAGGGTTATGAGGGGGTCTCTTTTGGACCTGAATTCACCCAGCTGCCACCTTCGCCCAATCACCATCCTCCCCAAGATTTAAAGGTTTTCCCCCTTTAAAATGAGAATAAGACTTTCTAGGGTTGTTTTTAAAGATTAAGTAGATACTGGAAATGAATGATTAGGCAGACCTCGCACCTGGTAAACATCCCAAGTGTCTTTGCCAAGAGAGTTCATCGTGCAGCTAGCACAGTCTCTTCAAGGGCAGAGTGTGAAATCCGTGCTGTGTCCAAGTCTGACTCACAGCGGAGGCCAGCGTTCGCCTCTTACTCTGAGCCTGTCCTTCAAGGAACATGCCCAGGATTAATGGGACCTTCTGGGGGGCAAGTCACATGGCAGCCACACGGGGCCTTCAAAGAACCTCGGGAGGCATTGGTGAGACATGGGAAGGGAGCCCCCCAGCTCCAGACAACACGGGGGAGTCAAGTGTAAAAGAAAACCTGTAATGACAGGTGGAGTGGAGCACAGAGCAGTGGACAGGACTGGGGCAGGAGAGCTGCCGGGACCATTGCAGGTATGGAGGGGCTGTGACTGCACTGCCCAGGGACGGGATCTGATGGCCAGAGTGAGGCTGGGATCAGAGCTAAGCATCTCCCGTGGGGTGCAGGGCTGTGACATAGCTGCTCGCCCATGAAGGAAAGCACAAATGCTCAGCCTACCTGGGGTTGCATCTACCTTTCCAAAACGAAGGGAGGGCGCCATGTTAGCAGGCTGCACACATCTGCGCCTGCTAGTCCCAGGCTTGGGGGTGCTGCGGCTGCTGGGGTGAGACCCTCAGCTTCCTCTGAGTTGTGGTCTTGGAAGATCTGCCTGGGAGCACCATGAACCTGAAAGACAGAGAAAGGAGATTCCTTTCTCCAGAATAAAGAACATGTAACCCCTATGCCACATGAGCAGACAGATAAATGGTACAAAGCACATACAGAAATCGAGTACTGAAGAAGAAAGAGAAAATTAACCAACTGGAGAATATGCACCTGAAAAAAGGTAGAAAAAGCAGAGAAAATGGATAATATATGGTAGTTAGGAATCAAAATCCATATGGGAGAACCAATCTCAAATTTTGGGGGGAAATTTTTAGTTATTGAAATCAAAGCCTAATTCAATGAGCTAAAAAAATGATGAAGGAATTAAAGATTTGTAAAATAGAGTTGAGACAATCAATCTGAATGTAGCATAGAGTGATAAAGAGAAAGAAATGAAAGAGAATGAAAGAGACAGAGGAGATATTAAAAAGCTCCATATAAATATATCACATAGAATGGGGAGGAGACAAAATTAAAATAAAATTAGGGCAAATTATTTCCAGAAAGGAAAGAAAGATGGTAAGATCTTCAGACTGAAAGAACCCATTGAAGACCAAATTAGAGAAACATACAAACAAAATTCCCCATTTAGATGCATCACAGTGAAACCACAGATTAGAGCTGATGACGTTTTCAAACTCCTGGAAAGAAAAGACATGTTATCTGAAGGAATGGCCACCAGATAGACAGCTGACCCTTCACAGCAAAAGAGATGCCGGTGTTGAGGGGAAATGATCAGTGATACAGCATTCCATTCCCAGCTGAAACGTCTTCTGTGAAGGATGGCTCATGTAAATATTTCTAGATACACAAGTGACACAACCTGGTTATCTGGTCAAGACGGCAGAATGAGCAGATGTCACACAAGAGTAACACGATCAGTAAGAGAGGAAGGAGGGTTCGAGGGAAGTGAGCAAGTTCTTGAGATCGGTTTGGGTGGTGAATTCAACACTATTTACATAAATAATTGTTCCTGTGTGCAATATTTATATTTTAAAGCTAGGTCCCTTGCCTTGTTCGGGGAGTTTGATTAAATTTAGATTCTGACTTTAGGGCAATCCATGGAGTTGGATCCTGTTTTTCCCAATGGGACTCTTCGAATGACGTTGACCCTCTCAACCGCAAGGCAAAGCTCTCTGTGAGGTCTTTCCTTCTTGAAATGCTTGAATTGTATGTGGATTTCCCCCCTTGGGCCATGCCAAATCTAGTCTATAATTGCTTTCATTGCTCACGTGGCAATAAACGTCCAATTGAACTTCCCAGCTCACAAGACCAGAATTCAGTAACTCGCTGGCAAAGCCAACCCTGGGAAACTGGCTTAGGACAGAAAATTCCAGTTGTTAACTTATCCACAGGAGGGCGCTCCTGTTGCTCTGAACACAAGAAGAGACGTTTGGGTAGACATATAAGGAAATAATTTTGGGGGAAACGGATTAAACCTTCTCAATATAAACAACATTTTAATTAATGATGATTTAGGTGAGTGCCACGTCTGATACCAATGGAACCCCAGCCTTGCGGTGTTGCATGCATTTATAACAACCCACGAAAGTCACATTGATACAAAAGAACAGGTGTTTTTGGATAAACTAATAGTCTGAAAGCAAATGAAATAATTTCAATACAAAGATTGATACCAACAACCTGGTTTTCTGGATATTTCATTGTCCTGCTCTGCTTGGGCGTGAACAGTCTGTTAACTGAAGAACAGGCACCTGGCCCCTGGGAGATAAGAATTGGGAAAAAGCCTTTAACATCTCTCTCTCTCACACCTTCTCATTTGCTAACGGAGTTATTAGTAACAAAAACTGCTATTGAGTTTCAAGGGTTTAATCTAGCACAGCCCTTTCTGTCTTGCGTTCTGAAGCTATAGAAACATAAACACCAGAAAGGTAAGGATTCCATACAATATCCTATTTATTCGACTGTAATCTGGCTTCGATGTAAGATTACAATACTTTATTCCTCGAATCCAAACGGACCCTTTCTATTCAGTCCAGGGCTGAGTCAGTCCAGGGCTCTGCAGACTTTCACCCACATTTGTGGTGAAGAACCTTGGGCATAGCTTATGAACAGGCTACTCCAAGTGAGAGCGCCACCTAGTGCCCAGGGCAGGCAAGGATGGCTCCCTGGGTAAGTCCCTCCAGAAGGCTGCAAAGAAGGGAGAAAGCCAGCTGCTAACATGTCCTCAGCAGAGCAGAAATGTTGTTAAAAGATCCAGTTTTAGGGGTCAAGGAAGAAATAAGAATGTTCTGTTCTTACCCTCTACTGATTGGCCAGACAACTTTACCTACATTATCTTGATGCTGTAGGAATGGCAAATAACGTTTACTTTTGATCAAATTATTTTTCCTAGTCCTAACTTATTTGATGGCTATTCTATAACTGAACACAATCAACAACAGCATGTATGTCCTCACCTTCCACAATGACCAAGCAGAGCAAACGAGTGTATTATTTTTCCTCTCCTTTTTTTAAAAAAAAATTCCTTGCATTTCTATTCCATTATCAATAGTGAAAGGGTCAAGATTGGAGAGCAAAGAAGTCAGAAGAAATGGCCGGCCTTCCTGTGTTCAACAGGGAACAGAACAATGACAGTGATGGGAAACCACGGCACCAGCAAAAGGCAGCCTACAGAATTTTGACAACTGGTGAAAATGTTGAGGATGGAGAATACACAAGGTTGATATGAGGGGCAGTTTGGTGGTTGGCTCAAACCAGACTTCTTTGATTCAGTGATATTCTTACCTACACTGCATGGCGAGTAAAAAAGACCTCAAATGACGCCTTTGGGTGAACTTCTAAAACTCTTGCTGCATTTTCTTTTCAAATATAAAATTTCTTAATTTTAAAAACTTTTTTTAAGGACAATTATAGATTCAGAGGAAGTTTTTAAAAATCACATAGAGAGCCCTGGCCAGTGTGGCTCAGTTGGGTGGGCATTGTCCTGTGCATCAAAAGGACATTGAACTGTTCAATTCTTGGTCAGGGCATACACCCAGGTTGCAGGCTCAATATCCAGTAGAGGGTGTGCAGGAGGCAGCTGATCGATGTAGTCACATCGATGTTTCTCTCTCTCTCTCTCTCCCTCTTCCTTTCTCTCTCTCTAAAAATCAATTAAAATATTTTTTAAAAAATCATACAGAAGGGTTAAGCATACCCATCACCCATTCTCTCCCAATGCTCACATAAATATGTGTACTTAATTAAAGTATAATTTCAAAACCAGGAAATTGACCTGGTACAATCCATGGACCTTATTCCAATTTTTCCAGTCTTATACACATCTCTGCGTGTGCCTAGTTCACAGTTCTATCACATGTCTATTCATGTAACCATAACCACAATGGATCTACAGATCCACTCATTTAGACCAGCCTCAGAGCCAAGGAATACCCGGGAATGCCCAGGCCCACTGAAGCAAGTAATCCGCATCTCTTTCTAAAAAATGTACTTTATCCCTTTGTGTTATCCAGTAGCTTTTAAAATCCTACTTAACCAACCCTTTTCATTACAAATACCCTCTTTAGAGTCAAAGAAATTGCAGCTCATTGTCTTGTCCAATTTGCATGCCTCCCAATTATCTACCATATAACACACAGGAGAACAACATTCCGCTCAGCGCAAACAATGATTCATCTGCAAGAAACAAGTTCCTTTGTGTTCCTCACCGCTGTCATTCTCTATGATGTTGCCAGACACCAACAGGGGAGCAAATCCATTTTGGACAATGAAGCTATGGGTCTTTGGGTGGTTCTTTTATCTTCTAAAAGTTCGCACTAGGGAGAAGGCATTTAGGCGAAGACAAAAGCTGAGAAATGAAAATACCTTTCGGCTGTTCACGGGAAATTCAGATCCCTCTGTGGGAGGAAGGGTTTTCTTGCTGGCAGCCTCCCTGTTTCCAGCCCTTCAGCTCTGAAGATTCTGGAATTTGAGGGCCAGGAGATGTTTTGTTGCTTTGGGAGGGGGCACTGGATGGAGGAGTGAAGGGGTCAGAAGGTTGATTGTCCCTGAGCAGCAAAACGAAGGAAAACGCCTGCACTGTATTCTCACGCCCTGGACCCGCCGTGTTGAACTTGGGGGGCTCCCTCTGATCCATCCCACCATCTCACCTCCTACCTTTCCCAGCCCAGACCTCCCATCTGCACAGCCACTCTCCTTTCCCTTTCCCTTCTCCTCAACCTGTCTCACCAGCCTCCAGCTCCAGAACATTCCAAACATCTGTTCTTTCTCTGTGCCTCCTTGGGAGCAATGTGAAAGGAAACACCCACAACTGGGCCCCTCCTGCCAACAGCAAAGTCTGGGTTCCCTGTCCCTGCTGGCTCCTCAAATTTCTGTTTCTCATCTTTCTTCATCTCTTTTTTTCATTCTCCACCAAAGATATTCTAAACAGCCATTGTGGGAAGTGCTAAACAAGTCTATTAGTTTCCTAGGACTCTCGGAACAAATTACCCCCCACAGCGTGGCTTAGAGCAATGGGAATCAGTTCTCGCACAGTCTGGAGGCCAGAGGTCTGAAATCGGGAGTGGGCAGGCCTGGCTCCTTCTGCAGCTCTGAGGGGGGTCTGTTCCGTGTTTCTCTCCTCGTTTCTGGTGGCCACCGGAAACCCTTGACATTTCTTGGTTTGTGGGTGCACCCTCCAATCTCTGTCTCTGTGTCCACGTGGACTTCTTTCCTTCATCTTTTCTGCGTATGAGCCCAAATGTCCCTCTTATAAGAACACACTAATTGGGTTAGGGCCCATCCTAATTCAGTATGACCACGTCTTAACCAGATTACATCGGCAAAGACTTCATTTCCAATTGAGGTGACAGTCACTGGGACCCCGAGTTAGGGCTTGAACATCTCTCTCTTTTTTGTTGTTGGGGGAGGATGGGCACAAGTCTCCCCATTGTAATAAATGTCTCGTAATTAGAAGGAGAAAACAGATTTTAGCTTTCGTTTTAAGAAATCATTATCTAGCCCCTAGGTCATTTGCATTTTCTTCCCTAAAAGGACAACCAATAATTATGTAATTCTCAACTTGCCCTACCTCATCCACAGCCCCATATGCCCCACACCTGTCTCACAGGGGCGCCCCCTGCATTTTCAAGGCTAGTGGCCCATCTTTGTCTCTTCTTTAGGGTAGTTGCCTGACTACTGAAAACTGAAGTGATGTCTCCTTGATTATAATTCCACCTGACGTATCCATTGCTTCAAGGATACACCGTTCCTTCAGGAACTGCTAATGTTCATGTCCTTCTCAGTCAGCCTCCTACCGCCCCCACCTCTACCCCCATGGAGAATGTCTCCTTGGCTTTTCCAAGCCATTCTGAAGTTCACAGCACCTCTTTGCTGTGGCATTCTTACAGGTAAGTTGCTGTGAGGGTCCAAGGCCATTTTCCCAGAAGAACCACTCCTTGGAGAAGCCCTACCTCTGGCTGATTTCAGGGATATTGTTAGCATGTTGCACTTTTGGCTATTTCTCTGGGAACCATTCACTAACACACTATTGATGTCCAATCTTTCCAGGTTTCTGATTGGTCTATCCCATCTTCCACAAGCATTTAGGCTCCAGCTAATGGAGATCTGTGTCAAGTGGTCAAATAGCGTTGGGTTCGAAGGGCCATGACAGTGCCCTATGAAAATAGAAGGATTAGGTTGGCACAGATGGTCAGTGAACAGTTTTAGATGGACCACGTATAGGAGACATTGCAGAGACCAGAAGCAAAGGGGACTGCCAATGAGTAACTGTCATTTTTGTTTTCCCCAAAAAGTTTAATACAATGGGTTCTTGCAAACTATAGCTCAAGGATCTTGACATTGATCCTAGAAATAATTCCAGAATGGAAAGTGTGCTTAATGAATCCCACATAAGGAACCAAGGAGAGGTGCACTAGGCCACACTTGTTTCCTTCTGTGATGAGGTGTGTAAGCTTTTAAAATAGGGAGATGAAGCCTCCATAGACTCTGTGACCTTCATCCTGGGGTGCCCCATGGTGCCATCATTCCAAGTGCACCACAGCCTCCAATGGAGCGCCATCAATGATGGAAAACTCATTACCTCCCAAGGCAGGTCATTCCATTTTACAGCTGCTCAGATGGCAAGAAAATTTATTTTTTCCTTCTTTTGAGCTAAAATTGGGCACCCCAAGGCTTCTATTTATCGCCATTAATTATTTACAAGTTCCTCCTGTAGGTGCATCACCACCTGCATTCCAACATCGCATTCTCTCCACTTAGCCTGACATCAAATCAGCCGTGTTGGCAGCTGAGTCTCTCCGGGGCCCCTGCTGAGCTTCCTCTCAGCTAAAATACCAACGTTTCTTATCTGTGGCCGTAGCTAAGTCACTGAGGCCATTTCTTCAGCGTGGATGGGATTTCCTGTTCTAGGCAGGATCTGACATGGTCTGTGCTGGATTTTCTCATCTTCTGCTAAGTTCCAAGCTCTACCTCAGTTGTTCTTAATTAAAAATCATGGCCAGAACCATTTGGAAGACTTTCTTGAAATGTGGATGCCTTGTCCCATGTTCAGACTGACTAAGTCCATAGGATGCAATACATGCCCACATGGAGATGCATTATTTTCTCCACTTGGAGGACCCAGAACACACACAGCTGCCTGAACAGAAAGAAGGCTGCACCCCAAATACAGAAGGTCCTGGAACAGAGGGCAGGGTGGGTCTGAAAAATACAGTTTTATTGCTGTAATTATAACCCGATTATCATCCTCGGGCTGGCACATTCCAGAAAAGCACGGCTTATTAGAATTAAAAGGCAGACAACAAACTAAGGAACAATATTTGAAATAATTGTAAAAGACAAAGAGCTAATATTTTAATATTAGCTGAGTTCATAAATGTCAGCAAGAAGAAATCCCCAGCGGTAAACATGCTAATTATATTAATAACTTACCAAAAGGGAGAGAGAAATGACGAATCAATATTGAAACAAGGTCACCACGTGCCTGGTAATCAAAGGAACGCAAGCTTCAACAATAAGGAGGGTGTTTTTGGAGCTGTTTCTCTTTGTTCAGTGCTCTGCAAAACAACAAGCATTTCCTGAAAGGGGATGAGCAATAATCTCCACTTCGGGGAATCCACCATAAGCAAGGAAAACCAACATTCCAAAAATATGGATGCCCCAGTATTAATGTTAACATTATTAAGTAGTATTTTTAATGATGGAAATAATCTAGATGTCCAACATCAGATGCATGGCTACATAAATGATGGTTATCTCCTACAGGAAGCTATTTGTCGTCCCACCTCCCCTGTGAGCATTCAGGATTCTTATTCACTGGATAGTGAAGATCCGTCTCAGACCCAGTCCACGGGTCCCCAGCACAGGTATGAGAAAGGCCCTGCCAATCCACCAGAGCTGGGATGCCCGGCAGGAAGCTCACCCACGCATGCGGGGCACCGGCGGAACTGTGATGGAGAACCCAGAGAAAATCTAGCTTGAGTAACTTACCCAGATGTCAGAAAGTCTAGAAAGAAGCTATTACATGTCAGAGCATGTGTAAGCGTTGCTGTGCAGCTCGGTGTTGTCATTTTTATGACATTCGTATGCAGGGCTCCCAATGTCTCCATGTGGCCAGGTAAGAGACGAGCATCCTGCACGGTGAGTTCACAGAAAGGGCCCAGGGACAGCTGAGAGTTCCAGTATCTTTTCAAGTCATAAATTCAGACAAGGGTGGGGTAGCAGGCCACAGTGGGGACTGAATTAAGGCAGGATTCCACTCAAGTGTTCAAGATGTCCTGGTCATGGTCCTACTTCTCATGCTGTTTATTGGGGGTGCTGAGACTTGCATCATGCCAAGGAGTCAAACTCAAGGTCAAATCAGCAGGACACAGCTGTGTAGGCTCTGGGGTGGCCAAGGAGCTATTGAACATGACGTAAGTAATCCTGCTGGCATTTCATTGTAATTTGCCATTAATTTCCAGCTGAAGGCAATGGAAGAGGACAGGGTGACAGGCTGATGGTTTCCTGCCCCCTGCTGAGGGCAGCCGAGATGTTTATTCTGCTAGCTGCAGACATGATCCTATAGCAGGGGTCAATTACAAAGATTGCCAAGTAAATTGTGACTTATTTTAAATTATTTTGCAAAAGCATAGTTGAGTTTTTAAAAAATGTGATAAATATTCACTGAGTCTTTTTGACACACTGAGAATTCTCAGTAGAACAGCAAGAATCGATGCTATTTGTTTCGGGCGAATAGAAATGAGCAGTTTTCTAGAGCCTACCGCCTGCTCTCAGGAGGCGTTGGCACCTGATCGAGTGGAGACATCTTTTAACGTATTTCATGAATGTTGAGTATTGCAATCCGGAGGAAAAGCCAAGATAAGAGAGGGTCTGTTAGGAGACCAATTCTCAAGTACCTACGTCTTTCCTCATGAGATCCCCAGCCAGCTAGGGGTGTGAGAGCAGATGAGGATGAACAGCCATCAGTCTCTTTCTTAGCTGATCAAAAAGCGGTGTGTAACTAAACCTGTCCCTCTCCTTTCTCACTAAAATGACTATTTGGAAACCTCTCCCAGCCAACTTCTACCATTTCCCATCGCCACAAACCACGCTCTCCATCCCTGCCCCTCCCGAGCTCCACGTGGCTGCACAGAATCATAGGACACTCCTGTTCGCTGCCATCAGATCAGCCAGGGAATGCTCCCCAGCCCCAGGTACAGCCCGGAGCTGGAGCCAGGCGGCCCTTGGTTTGGCCACATCACAGGACTTCCCGGCTGCTGAGCTCCTCCTGATCTTTCTCTCGTGTGATTCCAGCAAACTGACCCGTACACTGAACATTCAAGTTACAAATATTTATATGCCTCGAGCCTCTTTTCTCTAATTAGATCTTCTGTTGCACTAGAATTTTTTAAAAGAAATTTTAAAGTTATTGCAAAGAAAAGATTTTTCTTCTCTTTCAACAGGCCTGGCCAGAACGTCTGCATGGCCCCCGGACTGCTGGGCAGCTTCTTTCATCAGCAGATGCATTAGCATCTCGTGACCATCAAGAGCTACTCTTTCTCAAGATTATGTAGGTCCTGAGTGTTTGCTACTGTTGTTTTTCTCTTCACCTTTTCAAAGATTCTGATTACAATAAAATGATAGGTAGGCATTTTTGGTTCTCTTTGACTTTTGTATTTTCTACTTCCCTCTCCATGCCTACCCTCTTTCAAGCAGACCTGTAGCCTTGGGGTAAAGAGAAGGAATGTGACAGGGCAAGAGCTGAAGATAAACAAAACAAATAAATATGAACAAAGTGTCTCTTGGAAAGCCCACGCCCTTCGACACTAGAAAGGCTCAGCACGCGGACAAAGGGTTAGAGAAATGAGTCGGTTTCCTAGGAGGCAGGAGAGGTTCCTCCCACACGGGGAGCAAAGCAGATGGGAAAGAAGGTGTGGTTCTCAGGAACCATGGCCGTGCCCCGGGGAGGGGCTGACAGGCAGGTGCTACCAAGGGGTTGGGACAGGTAAGGCTCTAGGCACCATGGAGGGGCTTGTGCCCAGGTGGCACTGAAACAGCAGCACGGTTCTGCCTCCTCTAGTGATGCTGAGAGCTACTCTGGCAGGAGCTGGGGAGATAGACAGGTGGATCTGGGCAGCAATGTGGGTGCCCTCCAACCACACCACTAGAGAGCACTTGGCATGGAACACAGTTGTGTTTATTGATGCATTTCCACACACAGGGGACCAGGGGCACCTCAGGAGGATGTGTCAGAAAGGATTCGTTTTAGAATCTGGAACTTGCTAGACACACACACCCCATATACTTGCTCCCACCTCCCCAACCTCCACACCCAGCACACACACAGGACATACACATACAACATACACTCACTCACACACACATATATACACACACATACCCCTGACACATACCACGTGCTCACACCACACATGCGGCATGCACGTGCAGTGCACACACTGCTCTTCGGGGTCTCTCGGAATTTCCTGGGCCTAAGCTGACCTCTGTTTCTTCAGGGGCCCCTGGTGCTGAAAAGTCGAGTGGAAAAACAGGCAAACAGGCAGCCATTTGTGTTGTGTACGTGTTGCACCTTCGGAGTTTTGTGTGTCTTTTATCGCAGAGGCTCATGGGATGATGTCCTATTGAAGGAAAGCAATTGCTGCTCAGTGTGGGGAGCAGAGGCAAAGCGGCCAGCCTTGGGGGCTGTTTGTAATTCAGAGAGAAAGTGTGGTGTGTGCTTTTCTCTTTAGAGCCAACCCTACTTTCTAAACACAGTGCCCCCTCCCCAGTTCCGAGGCCATGTGCCTGGTATCCGGCCGGGCACTGAGAGACCTTGGCCAGGCCCTGCGGTGAATGCATAGATGGGATGCCTCTCCTGGCAGCTGCACAACCAGCTCTCATTTCCCTACATTTGAGATAGTGGCCAGTATCCAGGGGCAACACACATCAACTCCTTTCTCCAAAAAGCCAGCCAGTAAAACCAGCCTTTTCTCCCTCGTGGATGCTGAGGTCCTTCCTGCTTTCCGAGCCAGGCCCCCCACGCCGTTTAATGTTAGGATGGAACACCTCCTCTAAAAACCGGGTTTATCACTAAGAAATCCTTTTCCTGGATCTTCACATATCCAGGGGCTCCTCCTGGGGAAGAAGACCATTCATCTATGCACAACCCTGGAGCTGGAGGGACCTCCTTTTAAGCTCCCCCCAATCTTTCCCTGAGGAGCAGCCCCAAAAGCAGACTTCATTCCATGTATCAGCCAGAGCTCACCGAGGGCAGGGTCATGTGAGAGATACCAGATTCACCCACTAGAATATGCAGAAGGTCAGAGTTGACCCAATTCAAAGTTCAATGAAGGAGCAGAAAGAAACAAGTGAAAGATGCCAGATAGATGGATTTCATTCTAAGAGCATATGCTAGTGGGATCTTGCATTTCATGATAAAATAACAGGGACATGACCATTTCTAAAGAGGTGAAAGTCAAAATGTAGATGGAAGACATTTCACATAGGCCTAAACTATTTTGTTTTCTTAGAAATGTCTTATCTGGGACTACAGTTTTATATAAGACACAGCATTGATAATCCCACACTCCATTCAGCCCCATGAAGTGTCACTCATGTTCCAAGGATGGCAACTTGAAGAAGACACGCAGCGGAGTTGTACACTGAGCCAGCAGAGGTCTCTTGGGTGGATCAGGAAAATAAAACTTCCCAAATCGATAAAAAGAGAAACAGGGCTGTTTTCATTCACCCCCTTCCTTTTAACTTTGAACGACCTGCTGCCAATACTATTGTAATTAGCTAGGTATTAATAACAGGAAAGGAGGAAAGGGAAGGCCAGATATTATAGGCATGTTCCCTACAAAACCTCCGGGGAATGGGACTGGATGAAGGGGAGATAGACACAGGCCCAGTAAAGTTGGAGTGACACAGGGGTGCTGGAGACCAATTCCAGCATGTACAGCAGGGCTGCATCTGGGAATGGCTGAAGGCATTTCCCCAAACCTGAATAGGATACATTAAATTGATTCTTGGCTGCCAGACAGTTAAAGGGCATCTTAATCGACATGTTATTGCCTCCTACTGGCCAAACACCTGAAAAGCCGTAGGCTAATTCCCCCATTCTCACAATGGACTCTGTACTAAACCCTGACCCTTTGAAGTGTATATCTCTGCCTCGCCTCAGGACAAATTGTGTTAATAAAAAGCATGGGGTCCTAGGGATGGGGAGAACCTAAGGCCTTAGACTTAAGACCTTAGAACTTAGCTCCTTTAGCTAAGCTCCTCTGACCCCCAAATGCCTTTCAAAATTATCTTTCCTCTCCGGACTCTTTATTAGTCTCTGGACTCTTATTTAACATCTACGCACAGCCTTCTCCAGATTCCTGAACCTTCTTGATGCTGGGACAAGAACCCGGCAGAGGGAAGGTGCTTACTGTCAGTCACACCTGGGAAGAGAGGTCAATGGCAGAATGGGCGTGGCCGCTGCAAGCCTTGGAAGATCTGGGATATTTAACTCCCTAAACAAAGAAGCTGGCTCTCTTATGCTCTTGGTTCCTCTTGGCATGTGTGGCTCATGGCTCACGCTTGGCTTCCTGGCATTCTCCCATGTGGCCCACAGCCACGCAGACCGCCCACACACAATGGACGAGTGGACTGCAGCTAGCCTGATGCTGTACTGGGCCCAGCTACAACATGGAACGGAAACTCTGTACACTGGCTCTGACTTTAGCCCTGCTGAAACCCCAGCTACATGTCTATGACTGGACTAAGGGAAATGGGACTTTGGAAACCCAGGGATGTAATTCCATGGAAATAAAGCTGTCTATCCCATCACATTGTCCCTTGGGGGCCTCCAAAATGCTCATTTCAGGAGGACCCCAAGGACCCCACTCCCACTAACAAACAGGGAGAGACGAGGCACTTCTCTGGTACCATTGCCACTTGGGGTGTTTTGGGTGGAAGACGCCCAGCCTTGCCCAAGCCCCAGCCCCTCCCCCGTGGGGACAAGAGAATGAGTGGGATGGAGAAATAGCCCGCCCACCATGGAAGTGTTTTTCTTTTGTTTTTCTCTCAGCCTGACATCTTTCTGCCTGGCTCCCAGAGAGAAGGCAGGTAGGGTTGGAATTAACATGAAAACAGGGGATCTAGAGAAAAGAAAGTAATTTCAGCTCATGAAATTCAAAACAGGCACTGTGGCTGCCAGGCATGATTGTGAGGAAGCATTAGCATACCTGACTGGAGCCAGGCTGGGCCAGGCCACAGACTGTCACAGACTGTCACAGACGGGGCACCCTCCCCTCCCGGCCTGGGGGACAGGGGAAGGCACGGGGTGGAGGGTGGGGGGGGGGGGCAGACCTGGCTTCGATAGGGAGGAGTGCTAGGTGGTAAGTTCAGCGAATATCAAGGATGAACCAGCTTTGACAGTTTGAGCCTCTCTGTTACCAGGGACATGGAGCGCAGGCCAGCAGGTCCGTGGAAGGACCTGCCATGTGGCCTGGATGAGATTCTACCCGTGGCAGCTGGAGGATGAGGCAGAGACTCAGAGATGCCAGTAGCTCTTCAAGAGCCAAGTGGAGGCCACGTGGACAAAACAGCAGTCAGAACACAAAACATGAGCCCCTCAGCTCCAGGAGTCAGCAGAGCACCGAGGGATGGGACAAAGACAACCCTATCCCAGGGGACACCAGACCCAGCACACCTCAGGCGGGTCTGAGAACCTCTCCTGCACCACCGGGGGGCGCCCTGAAGTCTTAG